CTGAGCAGAGAGCCGGATGCCGGGCTCAATCCCAGGACCCTGGGATCATGACGTGGGCGGAAGGCAGAGGCTTTAACCCACTGAGCCACCCAGGCGCCCCTTAACAGTTTTTCAATAAATGAAAGTCATTCACTTAAATCACAGATGCAGTATAATGTCAGAATAATAATATAGATTTAAGCCTAACAATTACTGTATTTAGGAGCTGTGTTCCCACCCCAGAAAAGCTTTAAAGCAAGAATGAGTAGTACTGGACCCAAAATGACAAAATCTTCTGGCTGATACTATTTGTCATCTTGAACTGTGGTGAGGACCCTGGATAATTTTCCCAAATGATCAGGTCTTGACCCCTCAAGCATCTGTGTTGTTAGGATCTCAGGTGTATTCTTCATCTAAAAGCCATTTCTAGGTTGCCTTCAAAATAGAGGCATTACCTCCTGGACTGCGCTCAGACCACAAACCTCACACTATCGTTTGGCACTGCAATGTGATCCTTCAGGACCTTCTGATAAAGAACTTGGCTGTTGACAATGATAAAGAAAAAAAAAATCCTTCTGCCATGTTCAAAATACTGGTTGGAGGTGGAAGTGGAAGCTTTCAATTAAGTGATAAGCCACTGTCATCTTTGAGGGGTGCCACAGCTTCTAAAACCGGCCGCCAAGTTTGTACCCAGTATAAAGCGATGAAATTCAGCAGAGAGAACCATGTAGTAATTATCCTAGAAGAGCTGGGGATTTGTGCCCTGTTTCTGTGCTGTCCTGCTATGGCGGGTAGTGGAAGCGACGGGAAAGTTGGGGGCAAAGGGACCGGGGTTTGGTCTTAGCCCAGGCCAGGTCCAGGAGCACAGCCACGCATGTTTTTGGTTTTCCTCAAATGGAGAGTGTGCTGTGACGGGTTGGATTTAAGTACGAACCACATTGCGGACTAACAGATGACACATAAACAGGTAAGCACTTTAAGTCAATTTTTATGGAAATCTTATTTTACACAAATGTTAACCCAGGAAATGCCCACGATTCTGAGCCCGTACACTCCCTAACCCCATTCAGCCTTTGGAAACTAACTCCCACCAGCAGAAGACCGCCCCCGCTTGGCCCCACCCCTGCCAAGGCCCCGCGCCCTTCCTATTGGTTCTTTTCCCGCTCCGTCGGTTGCCGTGGAGACCAAGGCTATGGCAACCAGGAGAAGCCAAACTTGGTCCTTCCTGTCCGACCGCGTAGGGGTCCCAGGCAAGCGGCCGGAATCCGCGCGGCGTTCATGGCGCTTTACGAGCTCTTCTCTCACCCGGTGGAGCGCGGCTACCGCGCGGGGCTCTGCTCCAAGGCCGCTCTATTCCTGCTGCTGGCCGCGGCGCTCACGTACATCCCGCCACTGCTAGTGGCCTTCCGGAGCCACGGTGAGCCTGCTCGCGGCCGCGGCGCGCTCAGCTAGCTCCCCAAGGCCTGCTGCGCCCGCGCCCGCCTCCATGACCTCCTCCCCACCGCCCTCTCTACCTCAGGGTTTTGGCTGAAGCGGAGCAGTTACGAGGAGCAGCCGACCGTGCGCTTCCAGCACCAGGTGCTGCTCGTGGCCTTACTGGGACCGGAGCGCGGCGGGTTCCTGGCCTGGAGCACGTTCCCCGCCTTCAACCGGCTGCAGGGGGATCACCTGCGCGTCCCGCTGGTTTCGGTGCGTGGTTCCTGTCCGGGCCCGGAGGCCCACCGGGACTGGGCGGGGGTGGCGGGGAGAGGATGAACGGCCCCGGCCAAGGGAAGCCCAGGTTGGGTCTTAAGGGTTTGTGAACCCACGGAGGTTGTGTACACAGGCGCGTTGGCCTGGGCATACGTTTAATTTCCCGGGAAGTGACTCTCTTGTTTCATTCGACTTCTCCAAGCAGTCCACAGCGCCAAGAATGTTAGCCACTGCGGTGAGCATGTGTCCTACGGAAGCTGGGGGAGAGTCTGTCTCTGGCCCCCCGCCATTTCCGTGGGCCTGGCCTGATGGATGGGTGGTCGCGAAAGTTTCTTTGAGTCACGAAGGCTGAGCGCTGTGCTTAGGAATTAACCTAACGTGTGGCTGCAGTTGTGCCTCGCAGTGGGGAGGGGACCACCGGTAAGGTAAGGGCACGCATTTTTATGCAGACCTGACACGTGGAAGCCGGGCTGATTGGTTAAGCGACCTACCCAGAATGTGCTGGGGGTCCCCGTCCCGCCTCCCTGGCTTTAGGACTAGATGCGGCCCCAGCTTGTAGTTGTCCAGGATGAAAAGGAAGCATTTTCCTGTTTTTAATTTAGTATTTGGTTCGGGATGAGTGAGTGCTAACTTGACAGTCATTCCCTTTCTGCTCATTTTCGAAAACATTTTCCCTTAGAAATAGGAAAATTCTATTTTTTCTTCTTCCAAAGTTGAATCTCTTTACACATCTCAGAGATGATTGGCCTACAAGACAACTTGTGTAGCTGAAAAAAAAAAAATCAGACTTTCTTCCAGCCCCCAAATAAAATGAAAAAAACAAAAACAAAAACAAAAACAACTTTTTACATCTGATTGATCATATGAATAACTACAAAATATAATTCATATTTTTTTCAGATTATAAAAATGCATTCCCATTGTAAAATATTAAAGAGTTACAGGTATACATCATGATGTAAAACTAAAGGCTGACTTTGGAACATGTACATTTGTCAGTCAAACTTATTCTTTTTAAGATCTGCATAAAATTTTTATGATAGGGAAAACCTATTGGATTTAACCAGTTCTCCGTTGGTGGATATTTGATGGACTTCTATTTTTTCACTATTTAGGATACTGCAGTGAACAAGATTTTGAATCAATCTTACACCTTTAAACAGCCAGTGGTGAGGAATTGGAATGCAAGCTGTTTTTTAAAATTGTACCCGTAAATAGAAAACTAAGCAAGCAAATAATTGTTAAATTCAGAGAAATAAAAAGTAAGGAAAAGGGAGAAAGGAATAGGATTCACATAGTCATAAGTAAATGAACACTGAATATTGATTGACTAAGCAAAATGAGAGTTTAACTCAGTGGGGGGTGGTGGAGGGAAGAAAACTAAAACTTCATCTTTTCACATGGGAAGTCAATAGAGGATGCCTGAACCTGAGAAATCCAGAATTGCCAGTGCACAGGTTATTTAAAGACATGGAGGGAGTGCCTGGGTGACTTAGTGTGTTACGCTTCTGCCTTCAGCTCAGGTCATGATCCCAGGGTCCTGGGATCCAACCCTGCACAGGGCTCCCAGCTCAGTGGGGAGTGTCTTCTTGTACCTCTCTTCTCCCCCTCCCTTCCCCTCTCCCTCTCCCTCTGTGTGTTCTCTTTCTCTCTAGCTTTCACTCTCTCCCAACTAAATAAATAAAATCTTAAAAAAAAAAAAAGACATGGAGATAGATTTCTGAATAATCAGGCAAATGAGATAAAAATATTTGCCATGGGGCTGGAAGTCTGCTGCTTTTGATTCTTAAATGATCAGGTCTTTCAAATGGATTTTAAGAAGTGGAACTGGAGGGGGCACCTCGGTGGCTCAGTGGGTTAAAGCCTCTGCCTTCAGTTCGAGCCCCGCATCGGGCTCTCTGCTCTGCGGGGAACCTGCTTCCCTCTCTCTCTGCCTGCCTCTCTGCCTACTTGTGATCTCTCTCTGTCAAATAAATAAATAAAATCTTTAAAAAAAAAAAAGTAGAACTGGAGGATGGACAAATTTCTGTCAATAACTCCTCACTAATATGACATGTTGTCCAATTTTATTCTTTTTTTTTTAAGATTTTATTTATTTAACAGAGAGAACACAAGCAGGGGGAGAGATAAGCAGAGGGAGCAGCAGGCTTCCAACTGAGTGGGGACCCCCATATGGGGCTCTGTCCCAGGACCCTGGGATCATGACCAGAGCTGAAGGCAGATGCTTAACCAACTGAGCCACCTAGGTGCCCCAGCCCATATTTATGCTTTTTTGAGATGATAATGAATGTGGGGAAGGGTGACTGTGGATGAGAGGCCTTGTCAAGGGATGCTTACTTTTCCCGGTAAATCCACTGTATTTCTGGTGCTCTACATGCATGTGTTTCCTTTCTAAAAGTGAAAGCAAAATGTTTCTTTTTATTCCAAACAAACAGAAATATTAACTTTTTAGTTTCACTTTTTTTTTTTTTTAGAGAGAAAGAGTAGGAATAGGGGAGTGCGGTGTGCAGAGCAAAGGGAGAGAGGTGGGAGAGAGAGACTCATAAGCAGGCTCCGTGGTGGAAGAGTTAGTGCTGTTCCCATAACTCTGAGATAATGACCTGAGTGGAAATCAAGAGTCCGACACTCAGCCGACTCCCGGGCCCCCCGGAAACCCCTTGTTAGTCTTACTTTAGGTTAACATTACCTGTTTTTTGTAGAAGTTTTTTGTTTTTCTTACATTTGTGTATTCCTCTCCGTCATACTCTCTGGTTACTTAAGTGTAAGAAATAATTGTGAAGGGTGCCTGGGTGGCTCAGTGGGTTGGGCCGCTGCCTTCGGCTCAGGTCATGATCTCAGGATCCTGGGATCGAGTCCCACATCGGGCTCTCTGCTCAGCAGGGAGCCTGCTTCCCTCTCTCTCTCTCTGCCTGCCTCTCCGTCTACTTGTGATCTCTCTCTGTCAAATAAATAAATAAAATCTTAAAAAAAAATAAAAAATTAAAAAGATTTAATTTAAAAAAAAAAAGAAATAATTGTGAAAAGTTAATCACGAAGCATTAGGTTTCATTCATTTTTTTCTTTTCATGTGTTAGTCCAACACAGCAGATGGACTCTCCAGTTGGATGGCTGGTTAGATAGGCTCTTATCTCGGTGACCTTGAAAGCACCGCCCTTGTTCCCCTCCTGTTTTCGTGTGTGTGTGTGTGTGTGTGTGTGTGTGTGTGTGTGTGTGTGAGAGAGAGAGAGAGAGAGAGAGAGAATTTTTGATCCATGAAAGCAAGACTGCCTCTATTCTTATGGTGCCCAGAATTATTAATCCTTTATAATACTGGGTAATTTTACACTCTAAAATGCAGAACCAAAGCTCCTTTTTCCTACTCTTTTCCCCCCTCCATTCTAGGGCACTGTCTATATAAGTTGTTTTTTTTTTTTTTTTTTAAGATTTTTATTTATTTATTTGACAAACAGATCACAAGCAGGCAGAGAGGCAGGCAGAGAGAGAGGGGGAAACAGGCTCCCGGCTGAGCAGAGAGCCTGATGTGGGGCTCGATCCCAGGAACCTGAGATCATGACCTGAGCCCAAGGCAGAAGCTTAAACCACTGAGCCACCCAGGTGCCCTACAAGTATTTTTTTCTTAAGATTTTATTTCTTATTTGACAGAGAGAGGCACAGCAAGAAAGGGAACACAAGCAGTGGGGGTGGGAGAGGGAGACGCAGGCTTCCCTCTGAGCAGGGAGCCCGATGCAGGGCTGGATCCCAGGACCCTGGGATCATGACCTGAGCTGAAGACGGACACTTAACAACTGAGCCACCCAGGCGCCGTGTCTATAAGTATTTTTTAGTAAATGATTTGCTTTCTTCTTAGCTGAGCTCTTGGGTTTGAGAATAGTTTGAAATCATGAGACACAAATAAATGAGCTAGAAGATATAGTAGAAGTACAGATCTCAACAGCAGCCCCAAAATATAAACTCGTTAGGAATAGGCTTAACATGAAATGTATACTTTAAAAAAAAATTTTTTTTTTAAAGTGTGGGTTCCTCGGGAGCTCAGTCAGTTAAGCATCCACCTCTTGATCTCAGCTCAGGTTTTGATCTCAGGGTTGTGAGTTCAAGCCCAGCATTGGGCTCCAGGCTGGGCAAGGAGCCTACTTTAAGTAAGTAAGTAAGTAAATAAATAAATAAATAAATTTTAAATAAATAAATAAAAGAAATGTGCAAGAACTATGTAAGTAAAACTTTAAATAGACTGATGACTGACACAAAGGAGATTAAAAAATGGTAATATCTGTCATATTTTTAGACCGGAAAATTCAATATCATAAAGATGCCTCTTCTCCCTTGGTTGATCTATAATTGTAATGCATTCTCAGTGAAAACATGACAGTATGCAGGGACAGACAGCCATATGGGAAAAGAAAGAAAAATTCTAGGAAAAAAGAGAAGGGTAAGAGGAGACTAGCTCTCCAAGATATTAAATTATACCTTAAAGCCATAATATATAAAGCAGTGTGACTTGGGGGACTTGTATAAAAAGTATAGAAAAGGACTCAAATATGATGAAGGTGGCATTTTAAATCAGTGGTGAAAGATGACTTATATAATAAAATGATGTAGGGGAGACGGGGAAGCCATCTGGAAAAACTTAAGATGGAGCCAGTGCTCAGATTGTACACCAGAATTAATGTCCAGATAGGTCAAGATTCAATTTAAAATATGGAATAGGGGCACTTGGGTGGCTCAGTCAGTTAAGCATCTGATTTTGGCTCAAGTCATGATCTCAGGATGGTGGGATCCAGCCCTGCATCAGGCTCCCTACTCAGAGGGGAGTCTGCTTCTTGCTCTGTCCCTCCCTCTATCTCTCTCATTCAAATAAATAAATAAAATCTTTTAAAAAATTATTGGCATGGTAAAAACATAAGCATAATCAAAGCACAAATAGAACTAGAAAAAAAGTTTTATCATTTGTATCACTTGTAAAAAGCTCATTTTCCTAACATAAAGTGCCTGTAGATTTA